TACTCTGAAAATCTGTTATTTTTCTCATTGAATTTTGTTTAATAGCATATTTCCTTGTATGTACATTGGTCTAGTAATATAATGTTAATATTCACAAAATTTTTTGATTCCTTGTATAAAAGTTATATCTCTAACATTTTGACTTTATTAATAATATTCTCTTGAGTTCTAATACCTCAATCAATATTTACTTGTGGTGCAAATATTTACATTCAATATTTTAATTTCCAATATTTTAATCTCTACATGTTATAAGCATGTATTGTTAGTATCTTGTATGTCTTATTGGTCTAAATGTACATCATCTACTCTATATTTGTGACTACTTCAGAATAGAATGAGGTCATTGATGGTGGTATGAATGTAGACTCTGTTACCATTTTAAGTTGGTGAGCATGTTTTATTTACAATGCTGAGTCATGATCATTCTGTTTGGTGACATCCTCTCTAAGTGGAGGCTTCACACAGTTCATCATATATTAATTTTGCAGGTGACTTTATTTTATGCTACTTAAATTTTGTAGTTCTTTTTGATTTTTTTATATTTGATTACTGCGCATTAATTTTATGTAAATAGTAGGATTTGTTTTTCAAGTAGGCTGTGTAAATGCAGTTAACATATTCTACACTCCAGATTTCTCTTTTTCTAGTTATTCTTTTCCAGAAATGCTGTCATTTTTGTATGGTAATTTGAAACTAATTTTTCATGAAAAAGAGATAGCTAAGTGCTTATTGTTTTGACATTGCTCCTAATAATCATAACAATTTCTGAAACATCCAATGAGTTAGTATTCTTGCTCTTCAAACTTTGTATATTGTCAGGCTGGGCTAGCTTCTTCAAATTACTTTGGATTTTGCTCTTGTTAATCATAGTGATGTCTGTGTAAAATCAAGAGGAGAGACATAAAGAAAGCATGTATGTTTGCTTGCATCATTTTTCCAAAACGAAACAAAATGATCAATCTTTAACAACATGTAATTTATTGCTTAAATTTTTGGTACCATATAAAAACAACAAATCACTTTGTGTTTCTTAGTAAAATTCATTCTGATGTATGTTCTCTTTTATCATGTATGATGCCTCAGTTGGAGTGACTATATATATATTTTTTGCTGGTTATAATATTAAAATCACTTGTGTCTTTGGATATTGTCTTGCTCTGTTGATTTGATCATCCATTTTTAGATTCATTGTTAGAAATATTTTGCACCAATAATTCTATTTTTAGACATGTAAATGGGTATTATTTTTTCCAGTATTTGTTCTTTATTGATTTCTTGATGATGCCATTTTTTCTGGAGTGAGATGGACCGTCAGGATTATCTTAATTTGCATCTCTCAATATTTCAAGCTCTTTCAGAAATGTGAGGTGCTGAGTGCCTTTGGAGTCCTTTTTGCATCTTCCAATCAGATCTGATCCTAAGGTCCATTTTGTTGCCAGTAGCATAGTTTATTGACACAATGTCTTCATAGTATAATTTCAAGTAAGGGTTTCTCAAAGCTGACACTAATGGTTTTCTGGAATTCTGAAGAATCCACTGGAGATTTCAGCTTTTCATTCTTAACTGTATGAATTTGAGTCTTTTCTTTCATGAGTTTTATAAAATTGTTTTAATTTCTTGGTATTGGTTGATCTGTGGTCCCCCTCATCTCCTTGTAAAAATATCTCATTGCATTTTGGAGAGTTGGCTTCCTTATCGTGAATTTATTCCTTTATTCTTTCTCATGGAAGTGTCTTATTTCTCCAGTGACTTAGAAAGTTAATTTTTTTCTGTTTAATCAATTTTAGTTGCAGCTTATTTTCTTTTAGGGCATGCAATATGTTACTCCAACGTCTCTTTGAGTTGGAAAAATATGGAACACTTGATGAATTACGTGTGATTCTTGTGCACTGGCCATGGTAATCTTCTCTGTGTAGTTTCAATTGTATATCTATGTTGCCATACAGAACACTCTTATTTCTCATTTTATTTTACTCCTAAGTCTTTTAACTTGTTTACTACTGCTAAAGAGCTTTATCTGTCTTATCTTTACTAGGTTTTTTATTGTTTTCAATTCATTGTTTAGTTCATGTTTGCATTTATTATATTGTTTTATATAGACACACTGCACATCTTAATGCCATTCTATTTTCTTATAGCATCTTTTATGTTTGGTACCAGTGATTGAACTTATGATTCTGCAGTTGCCAGGCAGGTTCTTACACTGCTGAGCTAAATCCTGGACCTCCCCTAATATCTTAAACCCCTTTGCCTTTCAGAAAAATCCAGATGCCTTCTCCCTTTATCTTATTTTATTTTACTCTTTTTTATACTCTGAGCTTCTTGTGAATAAATGAAGCAGCATTTAAGGGTTTTTTTTGTTATTTCACTTAACTTTGTGGTCCCAAGGTACATTAATGTCTTATAATGACTCATGTTTATCTTTCCTCATGCACAGCACTTTACTACTGTATAAAAATAAAAATAAAAATTTATATCCATCCATCTATTGTATTCACATACACATGGCTTCTGATTATTAGCTGTCTAGAATGTGTAAAAAATGAGACTGATGTATTATAAAAAGCCAAATCCTCCCTTTTCCATGAACATACATTTTTCTTGCTATTATTCTAGTTCTTTCTGCAACTTCTCACTCTCCCTCAAACAGCTTATATCTTAGAGTTACGACATTATCTATTTTCCTATTAGATATTTAACAAGTACTTTAAATATCATGTAACTAGGACAAATTTCATACAACAGTATGTAAACTACAATGTATGAAGATACCGTAAGATGAATGAACAACTCAAAGACACAATGATAGAATCTATTGTTCATTTTGTAGAGTCAACTTTTCTGTTTTGTTTGTGTTCTCTAGGGTTAGTTACACCTATAGGATTGAAAACATGCTTTCACTATACTAATTAGTTTGTAAGTGCAGGTGAGTACATACAGTGTAGAGCTTGACATGACCATAGCAGTTGTGGCTATAAAAACAATTTTTCCTGCCAGGCAATCCTGGCACATTCAAAACCTTTTGCAAAAGCAAAATCATTAACAGTCCAAAGATTTCTACTTCTGCAAAAGTGTGGATTTTCTTTTTGCTGATATTTTGTTTCCTCTTAATTATTTATCAAACCCACATATATTCTGAGGATACCAGGTGTGGTGGTATTGTTGTCTGCTGCCTACTCTTGTGAATTTAGCACTTTTATCCTTTACTTTGCCTCCAGGTACAAGGATCTTCATGTCCTGCTACTCAGTCACTTCCTACCTTCAAGTCCCTAAAAGGTCACACATTGTTCATTCTTCACTTTCTAGTCAAATTCAGTAACCTACTTTCCAAAACTAATGGTGAAAGAACTCTGTTTCTTGAGGACACACAATGGAAAAAAGGAGTGGAGATACCTGGGCATGTAATCCTGACTACAGGAAGATGATGCAAAGCCTCCTCTTAGCAAAACCTGAGCAACCATGAATGTCAACCTGAAACAATAAAATCACATTAAAAAGAGGAAATGTGCTTTAAAACTGAAAAAAATGCATCTGTCACATAGGTACCAAAACTTCCAGGAATATTACTGCTAATACCAAATTACAAATTTTGTACAAGGAACAAATGACATTGTACAGAAATCACACATTTACATCACCGAGTTCAGGAAATTATTTCAATGTATATATACATGTCACTACATAACATGGATATATTTATTCTACAGTATGTTTGGAAATGAAAGTATGAAGTTGTGAATCACAGAAAATACTGTGTAGTTATTTTAGAAGACTTTCTTGACCTTGTTGAGTAGGAAGGAAACATAGAATTTCCCCAAATCACAAAAGGGATTGAAGATGACATTGCATGCACAAGAAAGACCTGTTCTATGGAAGGATGATACAGAAGAAAATTAATTCAGAATCCCTTGGTGAGTTGAAATTTTGACCTTAGAATTTTCAGTGTCAACATTATTATAACAGTTATTTTTTGCTTTCTGATTATATTTAAAAATCTAATTAATCTCTTTGTACCAAGAGCACAATGTAATGTTCAGACAAAATGTGAATCAACTTTTGGTATCAAAATAGTTGTTAGTTTTAGTTTATCATCCATGATGTGAATGTCAATTATTTTATATCAATTGCCTTGTGGAATATTTATCACACTGGAATATTTTACTCTGGGCTTTTTAGCTTTATCCAGTGCATATCAATAATTTTGTCACAAATTGTAAGAAACAAATATGTCTCAAACCATTTCTGGTCTTCCTTTGGGTTAGGAGAGTGGGTAGCAATATCTGCTGGTGAACTTCATTTTAGATAAGTACTTAATGATTACCGAGCACTTAATGATTATTGAAGCATTGGGTATCAATCAAAATTGAAAACAAAGTCAAATGTCTACTTTTGATATGTCAGAAAAAAATTCTCTTTAGAGAGCTTAGTATTTTAAAATGGGTTACAGATGAAATACATTTCAACACTGTGAAGAGAAATACCTCAAAAAAGGCAAATTTGTCTTTCTCATGGCCATCAGGCCCTGCTTTTAGTTTTGTAGGATGGAGGGTGTGTCCATTTTTTTCTCTCTGTTCACAATACCTAGTTCTGCACTGTAAGATTCTGAAGAATCCCATGGAATCCAGTTACTGATGGAGCCACATCTGCTTGGGAAGTTGGATATACCATTATCTCCTCAAATCCTGAACTATTTTTGTATGTAATACCCCATAGACATCATTTTGAAATTCTGTATTTTTCTTATATTTTTTCAGTATATAACAATTACTTTCTTCTTTGGATGTTGGAACATCCTTTATCAATTTTATTTTCATCCTCCCTTCTTTCCTACATCCATGTCCACTAATTCCTCTCCTATGTGCATGAACCCTACTCCCTTGGTTCTTATTATTTCTTTATTTTGTAGAAGCAGAACTTTTTTACAAAATTCATGAAACATTTTATTTTTCAATTTAGGTTGGCTAATATAATTCAACTATCAAAATATCATTTATAAAATGTTTCCCAGTGCAGTATATTTTGGCTTTTTCCTCATATCACAGGTTTGTATTGGTGTCCTTTCAAACTCCTCACTGTTTATGGCATTGATGCATACCTTATTATCTCAATTTCATCTTATGAGACCTATAGACTTCCTTATGATTCACCTGACAGTGGTGAATAATTTGACTATCATAGTCACACTTATACCATATATCATGGTATCTTTTGGAATAAGACACTTTTTGGATGATACTGGATGCAAAGTAATTTTGTATGCACGCAGAGTTACCCGTGGTGTTTCCATCTGTACTACCTCACTTATGAGTACATTTCAAGCCATCACTATCAGCTCTGTTAATTCCAAGTGGGCACTGTTGAAGCCTAAACTCTCTGCAATGATTATGCCTTCTTTGCTTATCTTCTGGATCAACAACTTGCTTATTTATATCAATGTTATTCCACATGTAAGAGCAATTGGAAATTTTTCTCTTGTTGGTCGTGGGTATTCTCATGCATATTGTCAAACTGGACAGATGAAAACCATTGATTCATGGTTATATATAATTGTCATATTAGCCCAAGATCTTGTATTTTTGACCCTCATGCTCTGCACCAGCCTCTACATGGTGAGTCTCCTATACCGACACCACAGGATAGCTAAATATGTCCATAGATGCTCCTCCCAGACACCTGCAGAAATCAGAGCAACTCAAAACATTGTTTTGGTGGTGAGTTGCTTTGCTTTTTTCTATTGCTCAAATAACTTTTTCACTTTTTACTCTTTGTCTGTACATGAGAAAATTCCTGCTTTAGAGGCAATTAGTGCAGTGTTATCATCATGTTTTCCAATCATCAGTCCTTTCTTTTTGATGAGAAATAATAAATTATTTTCTAAATATTTCTGTTTTACAGTGATGAGGTTTATCTGCCCTCACACTCTCTTTAGTGGCTAAGTTAGTGTCACACATACGTTATGTTTTGCAACAGAGGATTATCTCTATTGATCCATGTAAGATGAAAATATGCACCACTGGACATGGCTGTGTTTTGAAATCTCATATGTAAAATATGTAAGGAACAACTAGAGTAGATATTATGTAAACAATGTAAATGTAAATATATACCATGTGAATTGTTAAATGTTAAATAATAATATATTGTTAAACAATAATAATTTTTTTTAGAAAAATAAATGCCTCTGATTTGTATTGTCATTAGTTTGTCTGAGTTTTTCTTCTGTCCGGAATCACCTTATTCATAAATCTCTATGTGAATTATGTCATGTTTGTGTTAAACTTCAGCATACTTGGTTTTGTATTTGTGCATTCAACAAATATATGCTGCTCATACTATATTCCACACAATTTGTTGGACTCTACACTCAGATCTATGCCTGAAAAATACAGCATAATGATGAAATGTTTCTATAACATATTTAGGTAATGCAAAAATAACAGTATATATATAAATACTGCTAAAAATTAATGTGATTATTATGTTTGGGAGGAATTCCAGATTCATTCCATAATATATAATAAGATAAAGTTGTGTTTCTTATAATGTCTTCATGACTCTATGCCCAGGGATAAGCCTACATATGTCATCCTGATCAAATTTTAGACACAGCTTGTAATACTTTCAATTAAGATAGTTTTTTCTCATCAACAATTTTTATCTGAAATGCTAAGAGACTTCCTAAATTGTAGCCCATTGATTTAAGCATTTTGTTTGGGCTGAGGCTATATATATATATATATGGTTATTGTTAAAGTTTTTATATATATATGGTTATTGTTGTTTTGCAGAATGCATTGCAGAGCACCATCCACTTCACTATTGTCTTTCCCTAATGTGAAGTCCTTTATATGTTTTACTGGGTGGCTTATAAAGTGCTAGGGAGACTAATGAGAATTAAGTTTGAACCATCACGTGCATTTTTGTTTTTTGAACAATTTTTAAATATTTTAATGAGGGTAAAACAAAACACAACAAAGATGATCAGAAGAAAACAATGTAAGTGACACAAATTTCAAGGCAAGACAACAGGAAATCAACAGTAGCTATCACAATGTCTCTTGCCTTCTTCTAAATAGTTATTTCCATTGTCACACACAAATGAATTCATAAAAAACAAAATAGTACAAAACTGAGCAAAACAGAATAATGAAGGTAATACAGGCCTTAAGAACCAGACAATAGCAAAATCAACAATGGCTACAGTAATGCCGCTTCTTCTCTTCAAAACAGCTGTCCATCATGTACATTCTTTTGCACTGAGGTTGATGTATTCTGTATACAGTGATAAACTTTTTCACTTCATTATTGGTTATGGGAAAAAAGTTGGGAAAGTTGTGCAATAAAAGTAAAATTTATGTGATTTTGTGACAGAGAAGATTTATCACAACTTTTAAAAACAAAATATTATTTCAAAGATCTTGTGCTTGAAAAAAAGGCATTGGCCTGGAAAAGAAAATAAAAATGTTGAATGAAGGAATATCTTTGCAGATTCTGAAACAACTCCTGGCACTTCCCACTGTTTGATTGTTTAGAAGTCAGCTCAACTCATACGATGTTTAAGGATGCCTTGTGACACCCATTCCCGGGAAAACTGGGAACTCTCAAGTTGAAAAGCAATGCTGGACCCACATGTGTCACATTATTAAAGTTAAGGATCAAAAACTTTAAAATTTTTACATGAATGTTTTGTTGGTTATTAAAATATGTATGAAAGTTGAAGATCTGGGTATTGGTGAAAAGCATGTGAACAGAAGCCAAACTTCACAAGAAAGAAAAAAGAAGCTACAAATGTGGTTACTTTAAGTAAAATATTTTATGCAGCAACAAAACCAGCCAAAAATATTAAAATAAACAAACAGGATACTAAAGAGATACAGAAAAGAGAAATTATCAACTTCTTGGACAGAGTAATAATATTTCCTGTGTGGGAATAACTCAAAAATTAGATACTCCTAATTATAGACAAAAAACAATAATGAGCAATTATAAAGGCAAGTTTTGACAATACTTTTTGTGAAAATCAACCTGTCTACATCATTCATGAGATTATGAACTATTACAATCTTTGTGGGAATCAATGTAAAAAATGTATACAATGCAAATAAAATGCTCTGGAAAGGGCAGTTGAAGTGCATATCAGAAAATAGAAAAATATGCCTGGCTCATGGTTAGGAAGAACAAGCATACTGAAAATGACCACAAACTGCTATACAGATTTAATGGAATCCCAATGAAAATACCATTTACATGCCTCACAAAACTACAGAAAACACTCCTAAAATTCATTTGGAACCATAAGAGACCTAGAATAGCAAAAGTAATTCCAGGTAACAGAGACATATCAGGGAGCATCACAGTCCTTGCCTTGAAATTATGCTATAAGCTATTGTGATAAAATCAGCATGGTATTTGCAGAAAAAAAACAAGGAAAATAAAACCAAACAAGCAAACAAACAACCAAGAAAACCCTAAAAAAAAAAAAAAAAAAAAAAAAAAAAACATGACCAACAAAGTGAAAAGGAAACTCGTAGAGTAGGAAAGTTGTTTTTGACAAATTGTCCCCAGAGTCTTACATCTCAAACATATAAAAAATTGGAAAAAATGAGACTGTCTAATTAAAATACCCAGTTAAAAATGTGTATCTGAAATGAATATGCACAGTTCCCTGATGAAATACATATGGCAAAGTAAAATATATATATATATAAAAGTTCAACATCATTTGTCGTTTGAGAAACACAAATTAAAACAACACTGTCATTGCATCTCATACAATAAAGAATGGCTATGTACATGAAATCATCCAATAGCAAATGCTTATTGGGCCGTGATGAAAAAAAATACTTCTCCACTCTTGGTGGAAGTGCAGATTGGTGTAACCATTGTAGAAACTAGTGTGTAGACTCCTCAATGTTGGGTTTAGAGATCTTATTTGACCTAGCTATTCCCCTTCAGTGAAGAATTCTGAAAAGAATTAAAAACAGCATACCATCGAAGTATATATGCACTCATGTTTGTAGCAGCACAGTTTTCTTTTCTTTGTTTATTTAAAGAGAAAGAAACAAAAATGGAGAAAAAACAAGGGTAGAAATTATACAGAACTACAGAAAAATAAAAAGTAAGAAATCACCAGTTGATAAGTTACATATTGTCATCTTAGAAATAGTTGTTCAGGTTACAAAATTAAAGTATGTAAAGTGGCATTCAAATAGTGACACTGCCAACAGTTCTGCTCAACAATCCAACAAAAACTTAGCAATATGGTTATCAGTCCTGCACACTTGTTTTTTACCTTAAAAAGTGTAAGATTAAACATATCAAAACAGTTTAAAAAAACAATTTAATAAAATACAGATTTCAAAACAAGTCCACTGGAGACCTTCGTGTCTATCTTCTTGTCTCTAGTTTTCTTCCAAATAGTTGTCCCCATCTTCACACACATTGAATATTATAGAATATAATGCTATATATTATACTGCATATTATAGAACTAATCAAATCATTACAGGATGATGAAGGCTTTTTAGGTTTTCAAGATCTGACATTTGAGAAGACAATAATGACTACCATAGTGTCTCTCATTCTCTTCATAGTAGCTGTCCTTATCTTGACATATGCTGAAATTGAACTTAAGAGACTAGACTAATATCACTCTGAACAGTGAATAATAGTATTGCAAGGTTTTATATCATAATCCTACAGAATTAGCATTGGGTTTCTTAGTGTCTCTTCTTCTTCAGAGTATCTGTTCATTATATCTTGCATTATATAATCTGTCCCCATGAATAGTTTGAAAATTTCTTCCAATGTGTGAATTTCTACATGTATATCTATCCTCGCTGTATCATAGGGAAAAACAAATCATAATAAGACAGTGAAACAAATTCCTAGAAAAACATGCAATGAAAAAGACACATAAGACCACAATATTAGGTGATCTACCATAGTTACTATGCTTTCTCTTGTTCACATCATCAGGCTTAATATAGTTGAGCATAGTATTACATAGCTATTTTTATAAATAGACTTGTCCACATCATCAGGCTTAATATAGTTAAGCATAGTATTACATAGCTATTTTTAGAAAAACAAAACTTTGAAAACATTGTAGGACTTGAGAGCAGTTAATAATCCAAACAGGTATCTTTTACCTCTATATCTTTTATATCTTGTCATGTTCAGAGTAGTTGCCCTCTAATTTTAGACTTGATACTATCAGGCATACCAAATTCATATAAAATCAGCCAAGGCAAAACTATGGTCTAACAAACCAGATTCAAATAAGAGCAGTCATAGTATGACAATATAAGTAATACAGGGTTTCAGTTTAAGTTAATAGGAAATTAAGGATAGTTACCATGGTATAACCTGCTATTTTTGGGTTAGATGTCTGCCCTCAAATCTAATATGAGTAGACAGACTGGAACAAAATAAATTCAAACTAAACAGAGCGATAAGACTACTGTGACTTTTAAATCCTGATACACTATTAACAATGACCTCTGCCTTCCCTTTTTAGGCTATTTTTCACCTTTCCCCTTCTCAGGATGCTTTGTATATTTTGGGTCTCACTAGCCCTTTTAGTTTTTAGATTAGGGGGCCAGGCTGCTGTCTATCTGAGTGTTGCTGAACTTTTCTACCCTTGTGCTTGATCTTGAGCTGTACTCCTTTACTCACGAAAATCATAGGGTTTTTCTTCCTTCCAGCTATGTAGTTCTACACTGCCCAAAAGCGTCATAGTTTTCTAATCTGTCTGCAGCTGCTGCATGAGTTGTCCCTATTTCTCTCTGGTTTCCTGTTGCATATAGCTTTGCTTTCTTCGTCTTTGACTTTCAATTTATTAACCCTCATTTGAGTTGAGTATATTTCCCATTCAGAGCATCTCGATGGAGCCTGTTTCCTAATCTTCTCTGCCTGTTTTTTTTTATTTTAGTGT